CCTTGGCGCCTGCCCATCTCCTCCTTTCAATGCTATCTAATTGTCTTTTAAAATCGGATCGGGTTTCTCTGCTGGCCAGAGGCTTCTCTTACTAATTGCCCTCGCTCTGTTTCCTGGCTCCTGCCTGGGGCCAAGATCCCTCTCATCCCTCAAAAGGGTTTTCCAGAACAGGACCCGGCTCCCCGTTTGCCAGGGCCCTCGCCAACCAAAGGCCTACCTCTTTGATTTAATTGTAGTGGGGCGATCTGCTCTCGGTGTTGCGCACTGGTCCCTGCCGCCTGCGTCCTCTGCCACCGTGCCAGTCCCCTCCGGTCCCGGCCGCAGCTTGCAGCCTGGCCTGCGTTGCCCGCCTGCGCCACCGCTTTTTCTATCCTATTAAAGAGCCAAGGCAGTCTCTTTATTTAACCAATGAAATCAACACAAAACCGAAGACTATACCACATCAGTGAGGAGACATAAGATCAACTTACCTCCACAGGAAAAGGGAGATTTGGGGTAGGCAGAGCTTCTCTCTTAAAGGGACAGGCTGTAATTCCGGGTTCTAAAGCATGTACCCCCTGTGTGCGCACGTGTGGGTTGCCTGCCAACTGTGTCATCAGCATCTGACCTGCTCACACAAAGTGATGGGGATGGGTCTTGTATCTTATCTGTTGCTTTCATTGGTTAATAATAAAGAAACTGCCTCGGCCCTCATAGGACAGAAAATTAGGTAGGTGGAGTAAACAGAAGAGAATGCTGGGAAAAAGAAGCTGAATCAGAGAGTCGCCATGATTCTCCCACTCCAGACAGACGCAGGTTAAGATCCTCCCTGGTAAGCCAGCTCATGGGCTACACAGAATATTAGAAATGGGTTAGAACAATATGTAAGAGCTAGCCAATAAGAAGCTGGAACTAGCCGGGCCAGGCAGTGTTTAATAGAATACAGTTTCCGTGTAATTATTTTGGGCATAAGCTAGCCATGCGGGCGGCCGGGTGCCGGGGACGCAGCCCTGCCGCTCCTAATGCAACAGCAAAGCCCTGTAGGCGTTGCCCATCCTCAGCGTCTGACATAGGCACGTCTTTCCCCTCCTGCGCATGTGCTAGGAAGTCTTTAAACACTGGACGTGCCATTTTTACGCTCTCTTTTTCCTTCCACACCGTTTCCTCGGGCCCATTGAGCACAACCCCTCCTAATAAACTCCTGTGTGGGTTCGTTTGTGTCTTGTGTCTTCTTCTCATTTCCGCCGGATATCTTCACAGGGTAGTCAAGTGACAGAGAAGGCCAGCAGACTTATAACATTCCTATCTTTCTCTTACAATAAAAATGCATGGAGTTAGGCATGGCAGGTTAAGGGGGTGAGGGTGTCAAGTTCTTGACTGCTTCCTCCTGATTTGTGAATGTCAGAGTCTTGGGGGACCTGAGAAAACTGGGGTGCAGGTCACATCCTGGGGTAACTAGTTCACTCCTGTAACCTGCTGTAGAGAGACAGATGTGATAAGAGAAGCCTGATATGACTTTACACACCTGATGTAGGGAGATTGAAAATACCTGGGCGTGAGTGAGAAGGAAACAGTAAAACACGGTAAAAAAAAATGTCCGCTTAAAAGAATTACATTTCACCCTTTTGTTTATTATAAAATTTTGGGGGAGTTGAGGATCTTAATGGGTGGGAATGGGACGCAGCAAGGTCTCTCATAACTGCTTCATGCTGACTTTGTGGGCGTCGAGGAGTTTGGGATGTCTGATCACGTCCTGGGGTAGCTGATTAAAACTGTATTTCTGGGCTCTGAGGAACTGGGTCATCTGACAGCTTGAACCTCACAAGATTCTGGAAAGACAAAAATTATGTTTGGGAGAGAAAAAAAATTTAGATCCTAGTGATTAATAGAGGGGAAGTTTAAGATGGGAGATAGAGGGGGGGTTGGGGGTTCCCAAGTGATTGACAGGGGAGAGGTTTAAGGTGGAAGATTAAAAGTGGGAGTTTAGGGGTTCCCGAGACCAGGAATGACAAAGAAAGAATTAAATGATACTTATTCCAGGTGAGTCTGGTCCGTTTAGGTCGGTCAAATTGGCTCCCTGGAGCTTATAAAAAAATGTTTGAAAAGAAATAAATTTTAGACATATTAACAGTGTATGATTATAACAATAGAGTGCATTGTGGCATTACCTCAACATCCAGGAGACACTGCTGTAGTCAGTGACGAGTCTGTCATGTTAAGGTTTGTTTTGTGAGATTTTTTTGGAGTTTGGGGCTAAAGATTTATTACTGTTTATTACCACCTGGGCTTTTGGCAGTCCTTGTACCTCTGGCTCTGTGTTTGATGGTGGTTCCTGTAATAACAGCTGAGTGGTTATTTGGAAATTTAAGCATGACATTGGAGGTATATGGAGAAGTTGTATATAGGAAAAAGAGAAGAAAGGAGAGTATATTGGCACAAGAGAGTTGAATAAGGATGGGACCTTTATTTTTTTTTTTTTTTGAACTGGAGTAAGAGAGGTTGAACTTGGTGTCTTCTGGAACCTAAGGGAACAGGGTCCTGTCTGAGTTACTGTGTATGAGGGGTCATCTTGAGCTGGAGGAGTAAATGGTTTAAGATGTGACAGGTGAATTCAATGAGGAATTCCCTTGAGCTTGGCAGCTGTGGGAGTCAAAAGAATTACTCTGAGGGGACCCTGCCATTTAAGGGAAAGGGGTGAGGGACGTTGGCCTGGGGGAGAAAATAATACCTGATCTCCTATTTTAACCAGTGGTGGGCATGGGTTAGCATATGGTTGAGGTAATGACTGGTCGGTAAAATCCCACAGTAGGGAGCGCAGATGAGTTAGCAGGGGAGTAAGCAGGTGATCAGGAAAGGGAGAAGTTTTAGGTGAGAGGCCGGGTGTTAAAATTGGCTGCCCATACATGAGTTCGAAGGGTAAGATGAAAAGGGGGCTTTTGGGAAGGGCCCTAAGCCTAAGGAGGTCCAGAGGCAAGAGTTTTACACAGTCGAGGTGAAGTTCCTGTGACATTTTAACAAGAACATTTTTTAAGGAACAGTTAGTTCATTCTACCTTCCCTGAAGACTGAGGGTGGTATGGGATATGAAAATGCCAAGGGATGTTAAGAGCCTTAGACAAGTTTTGGGAAATCTGGGAAGTGAACTCAGGGCCATTACCTGACTGAAGAGAGGCTGGAATTCCAAACCAGGAGATGATTTCTCAGAGAACATCAGAGACTGTCTGGGCCCTCTTATTAGTGATGGGAAATGCTTCAACCCACCCAGACATTGTATACACCAAAACCAAGAGATATTTAACTCTTTTGACTGTGGGCATATGAGTAAAATCCAGCTGCCAGTCAGGAAGGGAGCCTCTGGCATGGTGGGTGGGAAAAAGAAAGGTACAGTATTTGGTCTTGGGATCTGACTTTTGACAAATTTGACAAGAGGCAGTGATAGCTTTTAGGAACTTTATGTCCTCAGGGGTGGGTTGGAGGTGAGCCTTAACAAAATGAAGCAGAGCTTTGTTATTAGGATGAAAGAGCTCATGTAGGTAGGACAGAATTTGTTGGGTGTCAGGGCGTGTCTGTGAGAGTGTGGGCTGTACTGTATGAATCCCCTGAGGTGACTGAGGTAGGTTTGGGCTTTGGAATGCTGCTGTTTTAGCTGCTCAGTCAGCCCAATTCTTGCCCTTGGAAATAATGGAACTGTCGGTCTGATGAGACCAACAGTGAATAATTCCTATAGCTTTGGGGAGATGGGAGGCTTTTAACAAGTCCATAATGTAACCTGAGTTAGTTATGGATCCTCCTTTCATTATAAGAAGCCTGCACTCCTTCCAGATAGCCATGTGGGACAGGAGGATATGAAAGGCATATTTGGAGTCTGTGTAAACATTTAAACATTGTCCCTTTGCTAACTGAAAGGCACAGGTAAGAGCTATCAACTCAGCCTGTTGATTAGTGGTATGGGCAGGTAGTGCCCATGCCTCCATATCTCAGTATCGAATACTATGCCATAGCCTGCTCTATGGGTCCCATCACATAAAAAGGAGCTGCCATCTGTATACCAGGTATAAGTGGCCTGAGACAGTTTGCCCTCCTGTATATGTGAGGAGTGGGGCAGTAGATCCTCTAGGATCTCTATGCAGGAGTGAGATGAGGAACCATTAACATTAGGTTGAGGGAGGAGACTTGAGATATTAAGGGGTGGGCAGCACTGGAAAGTAAGTGTGGCATCTTCTACCAGTGCCATCTGGAGGGAAAGAACTCGGGAAAGGGGTAGGGTTTGTAAGCCTTTGTAAGTTAAGAGGTGGAACAGATTATGGTGGGAGAAGACAGTAGTGAGTGACCCAAAGGTTAGTTTTTTTGACTCACGAATAAGAAGCTCAGCAGCCGCTAAGGCACGTATGCAGGGTGCCCAGCCCCAAGTAGTGAGGTCCATCTTCTTTGACAGGTTTGCTACAGGTGTAAAAGAAGGTCCCAGTTGATGTCCTAAGACCCCAAGGGCATATCCCTCCTTCTCTGCTACATAAAGAGAAAAGCCGTGAGTTAAATCTGGAAGATGAAGAGCTGGAGCCTGGTTAAGGGCTTGAAGGAGTCTCTGGAAGGGTTTGGTAACAGGATGGGGAAGGGGCTCATGCAGAGAGCCGAGAGCTGCCTCATATAAGGGGCAGACGAGGAGAGAAAAAGAGGGGATCCAGGAACGCAGGAAGCCAGCCACTCCTAGGAATGATAAAACCTTTTCTTTGATGGAAGGAACTGCAAGAAATTGAATTAGTTTTTTTCTGTCTAGAGTGATAGCCTTTTGGGTTGGGGTTATAGTTAGTCCCAAATAAACAACCTGAGTGGTAGACAGTTGGGCCTCAGAAGGTGAGACTCTATAGCCCCTTTTGGACAGAAAATTTAAAAGGGCGAAGGTATCAGTTTTGCTTATCTCCAATGATAGGTTGCAAAGTAAAATGTCGTCCACATACTGTATGAGCTTAGATTTAGGGAGAAACAGTGAGAGCAGGTCAGAAGCTAAAGCCTGGCCAAACATTTGTGGGCTGTCCTGGAATCCCTGGGGAAGGACAGTCCAGGTGAGCTTTGTGGAAAAATGAGTGTCAGGATCAGTCCAGGTGAAGGCAAAGATGTTTTGAGATTGAGGGCTGCGAGGAAAGGAGAAAAAAAGCATCCTTGAGGTCTAGAACTGAGAAATGGGAGGTTCCTGGAGGAATATTGGCTAGAAGGGTGAGAGGATTAGGGACTACTGGGTGGAGAGGGACCATGCAGAGTTAATGAGCCAGAGGTCTTGAACCAGATAATAAGTTCCATTAGATTTTTTTAACAGCAAGTATAGGGGTGTTAAAGGGAGAAGAGGTGGAGCAAAGTAGCTTTTTCCTTAAAAGGTCAGAAATAATAGGCTTAAGTCCCTTAAGGCTCTGGAAAGAGAGAAGGTACTGAGCCTGGGTAATATACTTAGTAGGGTCCTGTAATTGGATAACAATGGGGGAATGGTGTTTAGCAATGGAGGGGTTTGGAGTGTCCCAGACTTGGGGGTCTACCTGGGAGGCTGTTAGAGGAAAAGATGCATTAGGGTTGGAAAGTTGGGGAGCTAGGAGAAGGAGGAATGGATCTGCTGGTGAGGCTGGGGTAAGGTAAATGGGAGGAGCAAAAGAAATGGAGGCTCCTACCTTTGTTTAAAAATCCCTTCCCATGAGAGGTACTGGACAGGTTGGCAAAACTAAATGAGTGAGATAAATGCCCCTTGTGTTTAACACAATTAAGTGTTAGGGTCTGCTGAGGAAAATAAGGCTGTCCCCGTACCCTGACAATAGGGAAACTAGAAGGAGAGGTAGGGCCCCAGAATTCCCTCAGTACTGAGTGTAGGGGAGACCCAGCCAATCACCTTGCTTGTAGGATGGGGTCCCCTGAGTATATTTTTTACTTATAAAGATTGTGGGCATACTCCCCACCTTCCCTTCTGATGTGGGAGTGTCATATATCAGTCTGTTGATTTCATTGGTTAAGCAATAAAGAAA